TTGCTGATAGCGCATAGCATATGTCGGGATCGAGTTCCTGCCAACTTCTCCAATCCATTTCGTCATTCAGTGCAGCTGCGCTGTCTCCCAGATTCAGGAATGTACGCATATCTGTCCGAAGGGTTCCCCGGTCATCGTCCTGATAACATGTCTCGATAATCGATGCGCACTGTTGTAAGACATCAGGAAAATGAGTGCGTTTCATAAATGCCTTCATATTCGCTGCTGCACAGAACGTCTCTAGCATGGTCTTCTCGAGTTGGCCTGTAATGAGAGATCAGCGAATCGCAACGTATTGAGGAGATCACGCTCACCTAATTTGCCGTTGGTGGCTGTCTGCTGGAGTATACCAATGATTCTTTCAAATGGGAACATCCACCACCCGTGAACCGGCCCGAAGCATAGCAGGAAATCACCTAAATGGAGGGCGTTATGATGATTCGGTCTCAATGATCGCTCTGGACGCAGACGTAAAATACTGGATAGGTAACTGTTCATGTGTGTCTTATATCTTCTCTGATGCTCTTGCGATGTGCGATAGGAGGTCGCTTGCCTGATGGCGCATGCAAGAAACATGGTAGAGCGGACTAGCTCACGTCGAACGTCGTCCCCAGGATGCGTTGGCGTACACGTACGGCACCACCGCTTGAGCATGGACACTGGTAGCTCGAACTCGATGACCGCCTTCCAATAATCCGCTTTGAGCTTACCGCGTGCCGTGGTGCCGATGTTGCGTGGAGGTCCTTTAGAGTAGGTCGGATGCGATGTAAGCGCGATGTCAGCTTGTAGATGTTCCAAATCTTGTCGTGAAAATACTGAGGAACTTGTGTGTCTTCGGGTAGAAACGTCTTCATCTTGAGTAGGTTCGACACATTCGTCAACAAACTGATTGCCTATCAACAACTCAGGTAATATGAGAGTAACCGTGGACTCGGTTGCCAACGAGCTTGTGGCAGTGGGAGCCGTATGTATGCTGTCCTGCACTAGTTAAAGAGATCAGCGGCTTTCTATCATGCATTGCAATGAATACTCACTAGCAACGCATTAACCAGGACGATTTTCTTCAGCTTTCTCGTGGGACCCCAGGAGGATTGATCCGCACCTCGGTTGCAACATACAAATCGTAGAGCTCCCCTCGAATTACTTCCCAACTGTTTCGCAGTTGGAACAGACATCAGTAGGCATTCAATCTTCCTCACTTGCGGAAGAATCTTCGAATGGTGCTCGTCATCCATGCCGGATGGCTCAACGTCAATGTCGACGTTGATATCGTCATCATACAGATCAGCAGCCAGCATATCCATTCCGACGATGGTACGAGCATGATATTGCACCAGACCAAGGAAAAGGTTGTGCATAGGATCAACAACAACGCTTCGCGTCGGGTCCCAGTACGGCAGACGCATAAGTTCAGACCATCTGACTCCGTTTTTCTTAAACAGCGCGCTCCGCTGAGTCTTCGTCGGTGCATTCCGCCATTCCTGCACAGCCTTATACACATCTGACCGTGTCTTCATCCTCCAGGTATGCATATCGATGTTGTTGATCTCCTGCTTGGTCAAGAAGCATAGCGCACAAAAGCATTTCGCGGAATGGCTGGCTGCGCCGGATACCTTTCTGCTGGCTGGGAGGTCGGTTATGACGAGACTCAAAGCTGACCGCGAGCGCCTTCCACGAGGGTATTTGTAAGTCCTCGTAAACCACACGCTGTTCTTCCAGGAGATGAGGAACTTGTCCATGAGTGGGTGGAGGAAATGATCAATTTCCTCTTTAGATGGCTCTTTCAGTCCGGGAATAATGCCCATCAAGTATATGTTTTCCGGTTGATATCTCAGGCTGGGAGGTAAAAGTAAACAGGACATGGCGACTGACCCTGTCGACACTGACCGGCCCACAATCTTGTTCAGGTAAGGGTTAAACCAATCCACTGACAAACCCCACAAGAGTCTGATTTCATGGCCTTCACCAAACAAGAAGGGTTTTCCATCACTACATTTGAGATCGCGGACGACAGCACCGCCACGGATGTCGTAAATGTGGCCGGATTGCGCAATCACGCTCCCCAGCGTGAGAGCGTCTTCAATGCCAGGTCTGCACAACATACCCCCCACGAATGAGTCGAAGTCTTGCATAACGAATGGACGGTGGGGGATGCGTATACTGCGACCATCACGTACGCCATGAGTGGTGAGCTTGGCATTGCAAGGTGCGCTCGTTATCCACCGTCGAGACCGGCAGCGCGCAGGGTATATAGGGACCCCAGCATTGTATGTGGGCTCGTACGTCGAAGAACAAGAGGGGCACGTTGCCAATACTGTGACCACAGGATCCAGGTCAAACAGTTTGCGTATGGTGCGAATATCTGTGGGGAAGTTTTTGTTTTTGAGAAGTCCTTCTTCCTGCATTGTCCGCTTGTCACTTTGTTGTAATGCGGTTCCAACGATGAGTTTGAGCATGCGTAATGCGAAATTGCATGATCTGTGAGTAACGTGCCTGAACAGACTGAGAACCAGCGCAGTGAACGCGGAAAGAAGCAAAAGAGGATTGACATGGTCAAATGGCTGATTAAAATGTTTGCCTATAAACTGTATGAGCGGATGGTATTGCTTCACGTAAGGATCAACTCACTTGTATCGATAATCGAGCCTGATGAGCTCGCTGCAAGGTTCGGTGTGCAACCTTTGACTTGCAATG